GAGACTCCCTCAGAACTCCCACAGTGTTTGGCCCCCAAAGCCCCCAGACGGCACCTTTACCCAGTGGCCTTTCTCCTGGTGACCTCTCACCTCCTGGTTCTTTGGCTCATCCTCAGCCTCGTTATACTGCTGGCAAAATACCAGTAGAGCAGCACAGACTGGGAACACTGGGAAGTGGACTGCATCACTATCACTCTTACTGTTTTCTGTCAGGTTTGTTCAGACGAAGCGTGTTCATGAGATTTAATTCAGTTTAAGGAGAGGCGGCTTTCTTTATTTTTCTCTTTCATTTGTTGGAAAGTTTTATTCACAAGAATGATACCAAAGACTAAAACAAACAATATGTCAGTCAGTAAGTATCCTCTAATGTAAATCCCACATTGGGCGTGTTTTAGAGTTTGGGATGGGTATTTACATTTTTAGGGAAATGTTCTTGCTTATTTTTAGCTGTATATGTATATATACAGTCATAGGAACCATATGTCTACAAAAGAAAGAGTAAATTAGATTCACTTTAATAAAATATAAAGTTACAAATCTTAATAAAGTGAAATTTTTAGATTGTGCTCAAGTGTTCACTCAATAATGTGCACCCCTCCTCAAAGTCCACCCCACTCTTCTTCCCTGTCGCACATCATTTCTCTGCTATGCTACTCATTCTGTTTAGAGGCCAACAGAGGAACAAGTTTGAATGAAAAGCTGACCGGTTATTTGTTATGGCTTTGAAATTTGAAATTTGTCCTTTGACTTTATTATTACCAGACCACAGTTTGTGACTGAGACAAGGTTGATAATGCTTTCCTTTTTTTTACCTTTCAATTTATAGCGAGGATTAGGATACAATTAATTTGTAGCAGAAACGTTTACTCTAGTACTTTACTGTAGTACAAAGACATGAACAGTCTGTAATTTTAATGGAGAGAGGCAGTATAACAACCACAACATAAAAGTTATAAATTAATTTTCATGTCACTGAGTGAAACAAGTATTTGAGAACATGCAAAACAGGACTTCCTACTTGGTGACGAAACCCTTGTTGGCAAGTTCAGCAGTAAGATGTTTGTACTCCTCTTTACAGAAATGCTCTAAATACTTTAGGTTTCTTGGCTGCCACTTAGCAACTCAGAAATTTAACATGCTAACTGAGGCCTGTAGAGTCAGAGATGTAGCTCTGTTTTTTGTATGGTCTGACATTGCTGTGAATTTACTGAAACATTCACTGCTGGGAAGATTGTGGCATTGTGTTTTCATTCAGCATGTTTGTGAGCAGCACACTGCCGAAGCTTCTGCTTTTATAGAGGTGATCATACTTTAGTATACATACTTGAGTAAGATGACCAGTAACGAGTTAAGTAAAGGATCTATGTGTGAACTTATTTTGCAAAACAATAATTTAATAGAAAAGAAATTTCTGTTGTGCAACAATGTAACACATTGTAATACGTCTGTTTTTACTAATCAAATATTGTGATGTCCTGCGGGTCCCCCTCACTCTATTTAAAAAAGTCCTGTAAACCCCCTGCGAGTAGTAAGTGTTAGTAAGAAAACTAATGCATAAAAATACAAAGAATGCAATGAATAAAGTGCCTGACACATGTCATCTCCATATTTTAGCCTCATACACCTCATTTTAAACCCTTTTATTTGTGTTTTCGGTCATTAAAATGATTCATATTAAAAATTATTATCATTTCTTGGCCTTTCATTGTTTTTATGTAACTGCACAGCACAGGTGGAGGGTGAAGTTCATGACTCATTAAATCACAACAGACACATATTGGGAAATACAGCAGGCTAAAATAAAGCAGAATCATCCTTTAACATGAAGTCGTCTGTATCCTATAGTTCCCTCTGACATCATGTGATGTTTACATGTAGTAAACTTTTAGATTCACGTCATTCAATTTGGTTTAAAGTCAAAACAGTTTTTATTTATATAACACCAAATCAGAACAGTCACTTCAAGACTTCAACATTCACACAATCAGTGTGTATGACTCAGGATATGAGCTGTGAACAATCAAGTAATGACGAGAGACGATCACAGTAAACAACAAAATCTAAAAATCTTGATTTTTTTTTTTTGTTTTACAAAGTGAGAACAAATTCTGTACAATGAATTAATGAATCTGCCGGTTTTTCTATTACGGTCCATGAATAAATTGAATTGAATTTAAAAAATATACATTAGCCAAAATATTCCTGAAACATTTCGAGAAGAGAGAAGTTCACATATGTATGCGGTTTCATTCAGTGTAGCTGAAAAAAACTCACCATGAGCTTTGAGAGTCTTAATGGTTAGAGACACCGAAAGTAGAGCCATCCAGACAAAGTCAATCATTATCTAAATTAAACATGATAAGACATCAAAGTAGCGCACATGAAGTGTGACTGACAGATGATCTCTGTGCAGAGAAGTAGCACGACACAGAGTTCACAGCAACAACAATGGAGACCAAAGAAACTGGAAACTAAATCACACATTTTAACCAATTGTCCCTCAATGA